CCAAAACCTCAAGATAAATAATCAGACATCAAGGTTAGCTTAGTAAGTAGGCAGAAGTTTTGTAATAAAATTAGGTTTAGATATGGTTTTGCAGAATTTTAAGAACTGAAAGCTGAACCTGACTTGACTTCTCCCTAAAAAGGCAGAAATGCTTGTTCATATACAGCCCGTGACAGCTGAACTATTTTTTACTATGAATTTCTTGTCACTTGCATTTTCAGTTGTCAGTTCAAGTAATTTTTAAAGCTTTTGTTACTTTATTAGCCTTTCTTACAGATGAAGAGCATCCTTCCTCAGGGAGATATCTTTAACATAATAGTGAGAATAGTATACCCAATATTCATTTAAAAAAGATTGGTGAAAGCCTATATAACACTTTGGTGTCACTGGTTGTTTATAGAAGAGTCAAAAATAATGCAAAAGATCATTACATGGGGTTTGGAATTCCTGAATATGCTTATCTATGTCATAAGTGATGTTCTTGGTTGCTTAGACAGTAACCTTCCTTGAGAATCAGAAATATTACTCACTGGTGTTTGCTGTATTTTCGTGATCTGAAAAAGCAAGATCCTGATTCAGTGTGCTCATTAAAAGTCTCCCAGCACATTTAATGGAAAAAAGAGGTTGATCACCGAGTACTAACACAATACCTGTTGTAGATTCATTTCACTTATCCATGCCTTTCTAAGTGTTTCATTTGAATATGCTCTTCTTACAGCTAATTGGATACTCCCAGATAATTACTGAATTCCGTTCTAATGGAAGCTGATTCATTGCAGCAATATAAATCATGTTTTAAATACTTTCGTAAAATGCTTTAGAGTACTGTTACAGCCCCTGTAAATGGTTGCCTTGTTTATTTATTCTGCACATTTTGCAAAAATATTTTTGAAGATCAGTCTTTTCTGGAAAATATATAGAAGAAACTATAAACAAATGAAAATAAGATACCTGCCAGCTGAGGCAGTGAGTAAGAAATACTATAAAGACAGGCATTTTTGATAATGCATCACTTTTTTTGCATGTGTTTGGCATAAAATACGTTCTTTGGCAACGGTACTGCAGAAATGGGTTTTCAGAAATTATTCGATTAAGGTAATAGTGGGTGCTTTATAAAGAGATTTGGAGTAACTTTGTAGAAAAAAGGCAGAAAACAGAAGGCACTTGAGTAAAATGTACTTGAATGAGGTAAATAAGAGGTAAATAAGAGGTAAATCAATGATGAACGCTTTCTGCCTAGTTTGTATGGAACCAACAGGCTCTCATGCACAAATCATTCTAATGATGTTTCTATTGACTTGAGAAATAAAGCAAAAATCAGTTATTATATAGTATTGTAGAATATGGGTGGAATAGAATATTGAGAAAAAAAAGAAGAGACACAATGGAAGTCAATGAGAACAAAATTTGGTGTAAAGGTATCTAGGGCAATGTGGACAAAAGTAGGATTCTGTAAAGACAGGAAATGAAGAAGAAGGGTTTGGCGTGTTCTGTGACATCATTGTTCTTTTGGCCAAGCCCAAAGAGTGGTGATGAATGATGTCACATCTAGTTGGTGACCAGTCACTCGTAGTGTTCCCCAGGGCCTAGTAGTTGGGCAAGTCTTGTTTAATATCTTTATTGATGATCTGGATAAGGAGATCAAGTGCACCCTCAGTAAATTTGCAGATGACACCAAGTTCGGTGGGAGTGTTGATCTGCTGGAGGGCAGGAAGGCTCTGCAGACAGATCTGGACAGGCTGGATCAATAGGATAAGAAGAAACAGCCTCAAGCTGTGCCAGGCGAGGTTTAGATTGGATAGTAGAGAAAATTTCTTCACCAAGAGGGTTGTCAGGCATTGGAACAGGCTACCCAGAGCAGTGGTGGAATCACCATCCCTGGAACTGTTCAAAACTCATGTAGATGAGGCCCACAGTGACATGTCTTCTACAACATAGGATACTGAAATTTTAAGAAAGACAATTACCATCTAAAAGGGAAGTTAATATTATCCTGAAAGAATACTAAATATTTTGCAAATGTATTGTGTCACCACACCATTCTAATTCAACATTATAAATATTTACTCCATATTTTCCGTTCCTTTTTTTTTTGTTGTTTTTTTTCTTCCAGTGTCTCATCATTACTGTACAGGTTCTCTGAACAAGCGTGTTTGTAAAACTTAAGAAAACACATAAAATCTCCATTATAGAGATTCATAAAAGCAAAGTAAAATAACTCCCGTATTTTCAATTTTACTTCCAGACAGCATTTTTCAAGGCAACTTTTCATACCCACCAAGGTGATCTTAGAGTCATACGCTAGAAAAATATTTTGTTGCCTTTATTATCACAAAGCTTGTCATCACCTGCATTATCCTGAACGAAATACTATTACAGATGTTATTCATGGTGAAAATCAACACATTCTAGACAGAGCTTTAACTGTATTTATGGTGGAGAGTGATCTTTCACTCAAAATTAAGAAGCTGTTATTCTGAGCTAACCCAAGCACTGCTGATTGTTGGAAGAATAACCTGCCGCATAGAGCACCATGTCATTGAATGTTGCCTTCCATACAGTGAACTGCTGAGTGCCTGTATTCTTATTTAAGCTAATTGAACTAATGTTCATCTAGTGTCCAGCAATGGACAGAACAGTCCCTAATGCAGGGTCTTACACTGCTGTCCTGATGCGTGCAACTAATCCTTACTCAGGTCAATGGGTCTGCTCATGTGACTAGGATTAAAGATTATGGGATTCCTAATTCTGTTAGCACACCTCAACTGTAGGACGAACAAAGCAAGAACAGGCAAAGATATGCAAGAAAAACACACATCAAAGATAACTGAAAAACAGAGAACTGATGTCTCTTTTTTATGTGTGTTGTTATGTGTTTCTTTCTCCCTTAGGGGAGAAAGCATAAAATAACATATGGAAATATAGAAGGGACAACAAAGCTATTTGCATGATAAAGGTTCTTTACAATGCTTACTTGAAAATTAAGATATCAACAGTTTAACACACTGCATGTACAACTAAAATCAGACCTATACAAATATGAAACTTAACATCTGAGAGATCTAATCACAACTGAACAGTGCAAACAATCATTCTAAATTATTATTTTGATCTACTTACAACCAGTTACAGAAATAACTAAAGAAAAAATACCCAAAATATAACAGCTTAATCAACCTGTTCACTTAGGTTTTACATCTTTGACCACATAGCAAAATGTATAATCCTACCACTGTGAGCAGCTTTGACCCAGGGCTGTCTTTACTGATGGTTTCACAGCTGCATGCTCAAATTGTTAAGTTCTAGAAGGTACTAGAGCGTTTCCCATAATCCTGGCATGCAGAGAACCAATGCTTATTTGCCTTCAGTACTTTCAGGTTGGCCCGTGTCACTGAGTGCTATTTCAATAATAGTAGAACTGTTGACCATCTTAGATCTAGAATTTATTCTGCAAAATTTTATGATGTTTTGCCATGACAAAACCTGGCAAAACATGCATTCCAACTATGAGGAGAAACTTAAATGAATATGATCTTCCTTTGCACTGATGTGCAATATGTCATGCCTGTTATTTTTCTCTGAAAATGGGCCTTGAACATGTTATGTACTAAATAGATTCCTACCATGTAAGGTGTGTTCAGCATTTAGTAAAATTCAGATTTTCTTTACAGTAAAAATTAATCTGTAGTGCATACAGTTATACAATTGTCAAACATGAAGAGTCTAGTTCAAATACTTCTGATTTCAAACAATGTGAATTATCTATTCCAACATCATTAAAAATACAATAGAAAATGTTTGGATTAAATAAATAGAAGCAAATCCTAATTTGCTTCTGACTTATTTTTAAAAATTGACTATTTCCATTTTATTTCAATACAGTAAATAAAATAAATAAAGGCAGTTGTAAGGTTTGGTCTGTTTTGCAATGAAACATCAATTCCAGAAAATGCTACCAATTCTAACTGGTTAAATAGCCTCTACAGAGTACCCTGCTGCATGGTATACAGATCTCTTCCATTACTATCATGCCATCAGTCAGTATTCAGCCCCATTGCATGATAGGAATGATAGGGAACTTCTGGATTTTAGCTGTTCTGCTTAGTTCAATATAAATTTAAGGTCTCAGTTCAGTGAAGCACCAAGAAAATGACTGCCTAACTAAGCATGGATGCAAGGCTCAGCTCCCTGTTGAGGTTTTAGGGATTCTTCATTTGTCTCAAATTATTAAAGTACACAAATAGTTGCATTCCTAATGTTTCCCTTGGGCTGAGCCTTTTTTGATACCGTGTTTCTTAACACCCATTAAATTCAGAGAATGAAATTTCCCACAGGCCTCTGGAGAAACACAAATAAACTGGTTTTATTTTATCGGTTTCATGAAAAACATCTTTACATCAATTGTTAGAAGGTTTCCACTGCCATTTAATTTTGAGTGGAGTAGGTCTTCAGTACTAAGCCAGAATTATCAATTGATTCTACATACAACAAGTTCCCCTATATTTGAAAAAATAATCAAAGAAAATTTTATTCTTCCCTCAAATAAATGCAAAGGAGAGCCCAAACTGTGAGATGCAGATTGGTCTTGGTTTACTCTCCATGCAGCTCAGTTATGCAGTTAGTCAAGGCTGAGGCCTTTTATTCTCTTAATTAAGTAAGCCTGACTTAATTAAGAAACAATGATTATTATATATTTTATTATGTGTATAAATAAGATGGAATTTAAAATGAATGCTTTAAAGAAAATATTAATCTCTAAAACTCAGAATCGGATAAAATCATAGGCTGGAAAAGGTCAGCCACTGCCCAAATCTCCCACAGACTTTAAAGAGTATTGGTTCAGGCCCCATGGCTGAGATCATCAGACCTTGATTTCAAGCTTTTATTTGGAAAACTTTGAAAATTTTGTCAAAAAAAAAAAAAACCAAGCCAACGAACCAACCAAACAAGCAAACAAACAAAAAAGCCAACAAAAAACCTCAAGAGAAGAAAACAGACGCATGGGCTTTAGCACTTTTCTGCTTTTCATTATAACCAGTCAGTTCTTCTGCAGCAGAGAAGCCAAGTTAGAGAGCCTGAGAAAGTTAGAGAGCAAAATAATTCCAGATAAACTTCCTCATTATCCAATGTTTTCCCTCCCAGACAGAAGAGTGCAACCCAGATGCCCTCAGTTCTTAGAAATGAGTAGAAAAAGAAGAAAAAGCTGCAAGGGCAGAAAGAGCTCTGATTCCAGAGAATGTAAGTTTACAGAAATGTTTAATCTGAAGTAAAAACATCAGAATCATAGGTGCTTGCACTCCATTTACTCATCAAGACAGAATTCCATCTTTGTGCCCAAAACTTTTTGTCAAATTGGAAATATTTACACTCATGTATGGGTACGTACAGGTAACATCTTGATGAAGCTAGCTGCTTTATTTTAGCTGAGCTGCTATCTCTGGCAAAGTCTTTCCAAATATAGTGATGTCAAATTGCCTCAAATTTTGAGCACTTTTGCTGTAAATGTCTCAATATTGCCTAAGTCTTCTAATCCTACTTAAGTAGATGTTACTGTATACTGTTATCCTCTAATGCATATAACCTAAGAGAAAAAAGCCTAAGCAAAGCAGAATTTTATGTGATTATATGAATGCCATGGAATCTTGCCTAGTACAGCTCCCACCGGGAAACAGTATCTTTCTTCTTGGAACAGGGAGCTGTGGTTCACTCCTCTGTCAGCATGCCACTGATATGCTACATGATTGTGATAAAATCCATTAACCCCTCTGTTTACTCATCTGTAAAATTGTTATAAAAGTCAAGTTCCATGTAATTTACCCAAACTGCAAACATGCACTGGGATACTGATTGCCCCAGTGCCTTCACAGGAACAAAGTAAATACTGAGAGAAGTAATGGAAGTAAAAGGGATAGATCTTTCTATACGCAAATAGAATACCTTATCCCCTAACAACTGTAAAACTTTCTGAGAAAAAAAAGAGTTGTTAATATATTAATTTACTCCAATCAGAGTGAGTTAACATGGCCTACCTTGTTTATCTGATTACATCAGATAATTAAAACAAGAGAAGTTAATACTGAAACGAAAAAAAAAAAAAATTTAAAAAATATACACTCACCTTAAAGATAAAATAGACATTTTTAAGAAAAAATGCCTCAAAGATAATCATACATTTGTGATACTGCTTACCAAATCATAGGAAAAATGTTTTGTGTTTTTTTTTCTCTTGTTTACCTTAAATTAGATGAACAGTTGTCACCCATTTGTAAATGCCAGCAAAATGTAGGAAGCCTTGAAAATAAAGCAGATGAGGCTCTGGCTTGCTTCACTGAGCCACTGGATGTAAAGGGTACTGAAGAAGATGGAAAAGATCATGAAAACAAGAATCAGAGTAGCTCAGACACATCTGAAGATAAAGACCTTGATAATGTATCAGACAGCGAAAAAGAAGGAAAGAAGGAAAAGAACTACTCTCCTCAAATGTTCTCTCCTCAGCAAGATGAGATCCTAACTACAGTAACTTTTGGTGAATCAGAGGGCTCATCCACAGGAAAAATTACACTATGGGGCAAGCCAGACCCTGTAGAGCTGGTTAGCTCTACTACTGGGAAAATTACTGCAGAAGTAAAATGTGGTTCTTTTAGTGTGAAAGTAGAAATTAAGAATGTTTCTTTGTTTGATTCTGGAACAAATCTTGTAGCTGGAAAACAGAAAAGTTCAAAGAACAATAAAGATTGTCATGAAAGGAAATACCAGAAAAGCCAGTGTTCAAAATGTTCAAAGTACCAGTGCCCTTTAACTGACCACTCAGCAGAACACAGTGAGCAATATAAGGGATTCTCTAAACATAAAATTCAAACTGACGTCAACAAAAATGCTTCCCTGAAATTGACCATTGACACAAAGGAAATTGAAGTGGAATTTACCAGCAGAAAAAAAAATCTAAAGGTTAGCATCAAACCTGGTGAACAGGCACAGAGCAAACCCTGCAACAGGGAACACGAAGACACGTACTGGAGTGAAACAGATTATTCTGTAACAGAGGCGCCTCACAATACAGATTGTGAGTCATCTTTTAGCTTCCGTGAAAAAGTAGGCTATACATTCCTAGATGGATGTACACTTCTACCTCCACCTCAAGAATTTGCTGACTGTGATGAAATGCATTTGGGTACAATTGCAGAGAGAGTATCTTTATACCCTATTAGTGACAAAAAGGAATCTGACAGCTTTTCTCCAGCTTTGAAAAATTTTGAGGAAGAAAGCTATTTCTGTAAACATAACAAAAAGGACTGTGGAGAGCACACCAGTGAAAAGGAAGATTTTTCAAAAGACAAAATACTTTTCTCAAAAATAGATAACACAAATTGTCTTGTAGCTAGTAATACTTGGAATAACTCAAACTCTGGGAAGGAGAATATCAGTAAGAACAACATATTAGGTCAAAAAATAAAAAACTGTGATAAATGTAGAAATACAGGGCAAAAACCAGGAAGAAGAAAGTCTTTCCCAGATACTACCTTTGATGTACCATCAATAGTGCACCCTAGAAGGGGTTCTGGGTTTTATTCATTGCCATCCTTAAAAGTATTTCCTAAGGAGACCAAAACAGATGTTAATAACAAGAACTCACTTGTTCACACCAGCTATATAGGACTTGGTAAGTGTCCTGACTTGACCTCCTCACTGAGAAGCCTGCAAGGTCTTATGTCTTCATATCATTATGCTTTCACATCATTTGATCATGATATTACCATTTATACATCTGAACCCAAGGAAAGCCTAGTTGACGCTTGTTTACTGAATGATTCTGCAGGCTATGTGGGGCAAGGTGAAGAAACTCTAATGGAGAGTCTTCATTCCAGTGATATTGTAAATAAGAAAAAAGAAAATGGGCATGAAGGACCTCTGAGAAACCTGGCCATATGGGAGGAAGACTCTGAGGCTACTGAAGATGCTTTAGATGAAGGGACACCAGAGTACAACCATCTAGAAAATCACAAGGAATTGCAGAACAAAGCTCAGCTGATACAGATCTCTCCATATTCTAGAAGCCCTTCAGGTGAATGTATTAGTGGCAAGGAAAGTACTAATTGCACATCTACAGAATGTGCTCAAAACCAGCTTTCAGGTTTATACCTACCCACTGCAGAGACTGAGGTAGAAAAGAAAAGGAGAGGGTCAGTAATGACTGTGATAACTGGAGGTCTAGAACAAAGACTTGTCCAAGGCGAGACTAAATTGATACCTGATTCTTTTGGCTCTGCAGTGAGAAAGGAGCCTAAACTTCCCTGCAGTATAGATGAAAAATCCTTCCTGTCATCCTTGTTATTATATCCTGAGGAGCATGACATTAATAATGAATCAGAAAGCTTTTCTGAGACACAAGACATATCTGTGAATATCCTTGTTGACTCCGATTGCCATAACAACTCAGCAGTGAATGCCATTTTATCTACCTCTTCAGCATATACGGAAAACAAGGAGAATTTCACAGAACATTCAAATGCCAAGGAAGGACCAGAGAACATTTGCTGTAAACAGTCAACTGATGATAGCTTAAGGAGAGAGCCTGGAGCACATCAACTGCCTCAGTTAGTCAAATCCAGCTCTAATGAAGTTGAGAGAAAGACTGAAATGAAACAAGATTTTCATCAGAATGCAGATATCCCCCCATCATCAGTAAAACATATTAGTCAGAAAGGTACGTGTTATAAGACTTTTGGAGTTGGTATCACTTACATAGGTGGTTTAGTGCTTTGGTGATGTCTTTTTGGGGAAAATGAAAGCATATTGCTGTCTTTCAAAGAGATAATGTTGGTATACTTGGCCATTTGGTTATAATAAGCAGTTATTGTGCTGAGGATCCTAGCAGCTATCTTTACTAAATAAATAAAGAAAAATTTAATACAGCTTTGCTCAAGAACTAGGTTTTCTACATCAAACAATCAACTCACCCTGTACATCTAGTGAAAGAAGCAAACAACAAAACAGGAGGGTTTTTTTGGAGTTGCCATGTGAATGAACTCAGAGCTCTAGTCAATGTTTAAAACCACATAGATCTGTTTTTGGAATCCATGTGATCTAAAAGCAAATACTAAATTCTAAGTACATCTCAGTCCTAATTCTGGCTAAGCCTTTAAATGTCATGGAATGACCTTAAGTGTATCATTTAACCTTCTTTTCTCCTCCTTCAAGTAGTTAAGAAAACTGCATATGAAAAAGAATTATTTTTAATAGTTAATCCTTTAGAAAATCTTATTTTCTTCTCTTCTGTAATCCATCTACCCATATCCATGACTAGTCTTTAAAAGGAATGTTTTGAATCATAAAAATGTAAAGCTGTACAGGGACACTGCATACTATAATGTTAGCTTTTTACATTGTGAATATGTACACACACATATATATGTATGTGGTTTTTAAATATTGCTCCAAACACTTTAATTTTAATTTTTTAATATTAATCAAGTTATATGTGAATGTAACACAGATTGTCCTCTCCATAAGAGAATGTTTGCAGCAGGTTTGCAGATTAGGAGGTTTATACTGGTAAAAAATACATACTTTCTTATTATGGGAAAATGCCTTCAAAAATATTATTAAAAATCATGTGAAAGTTTTTAACAGTCTTTGTAGTTCATGATATCTGCAGAAAATTCTGATATGTCCTTCAAGGTTTTCTTGGCTGGCACTAATAATGGGAATTTCAAAAATGCCTGGTCTATATAGACTATATAGATATACTGTACAGGTAGATATTGCTATACAAATCAATATCTAAAATACTAAAATAAATAGAGTGTTACTTAAACAGAGTTCTTTTTAGAACAAGGTATAGAAATAAGACCCCAAAGGAAGCCTGAATGCTAAAAACCTTGACTTCTCATACGTTAGACATCTGTGGATAAACACACATCACAGAAGTGAGGTGTGTTTTAATTTTATTTTCTCCTCTTCCCTTTTGCCCTTTGCTAAGAATTATCTATGAGTTTTTCTCATCCATCACTTCATCTGGTCTGTAACTTTGGCCGTATGATTATATTTTGATTTTCCATCTGTTATTCTTAGCAGTGCTATGGAGGTCCTGCCTTAAATACGTAAATATGTACATCCAGAGAGGAATATCAGCATTCAGAGTTTTAAAACTCATTATATGAATCAAAGTCTACTTGTAATGTGGGAATACCAACCTATTTAGTCAAGACATTGGGCACTAGGTGCAACATAGGACTTCCTGTACTTGGTAATTCAGTCACACTGGAAAGAAGATGTGGCTTTTCAACAATGAGTGAGAGCACCTAGAATAGAGGAGAAAAATGGATGCAAATGTTGTAAACAGAATGGGGGAGAGGAGTTCAGGCAATCTAGAATTCTGCTGGTCTTATGAGAACTTTATTATTATCAGAGGGGCAAGGACTCATGCAAAGGACACCACAAGAAATTGGTTTCCTGGGTCTCATTAAGTCAGCTGCCCTGGAAAAAGAGCTCAGTGACAAATATGCATCTTGCAAGACTTTTAATATTTAAGTATCACTTGATATATTTGCATCCTCACCACTGCAAAGTATATATAAAAAAAAAAAAGTATGAACATTTTTATATAAAATCTGTGAGCAGTTTACATGTTTCTACATAAAAAGGGTGCCATACAAATGGCTATTTAGGCATTTACCTACAGATACAACTGCCACAAGGCAATCACACGTGCTTCTCTGTGCATGAAGATCTCAGTTTAAAATATACACTTTCTGAATATATTCAGTATTTTTTGGTATTTTCATTTCTATGATTAGATTATTCTTGTGTTTAGATTGCAGAAATTTTTAACAGTATTATTGCTTAAGTTGTCTTACACATATCCTCACAATGTCTGATTATAATCTAGACTTGAAATCAGAAATGAATAAAACCAGAAAGCTACCTTTGATGAAAGACACCAGAGCCAGTGATAGTTCCCAGGAAGAAGCAATAGACCAGTGGGCCAGAAGACGGAAACAGTTCAAAGATAGCAAAAAATGCAGTTCAACTGGAGGAAGCTCTATAAACAGCACAATCACTGAGGGATCAAGTGAGTACTTTACTCTTAGGATTGTATTCTTTCTCCATGTGATTGACAGTCTGCAGGGTTTTCAGCTGAGGAAATTAATCTTCAGTTCATAACCTGAGTCCCTTTCTTACTCATTGTCATGAGCAAGCATATTTTATTCAGTTGAGCTATTTCTCAATATCCACTCTTCTTTATATAACCAAGTAAATAATCTGACTGAAAAAAGTTGATTGTATTATCCTTGTCCCTATGCAGTAAATGTTAAGCTCTAGGCACAGACAAACAGGTAATCACTAATGGTAGTAGCTTTGAGGGTGCAACAAAAATCATAATCCTGATGCCTGCTTTGCTTATGTCAAAGCCATGGTGTGCTGGAAGTTCTCTGCTCACTAAGATAACCACCTACTTCACCTTGTATCTTCAGGCTTGTTGCCTAGATTGTTCTTCACTGTCCCTCCAGTTACTGAAAGTTATTCCAGTAACTGCCTCATTAAGAAATCTGTCACCTCACCATATGCTTGAGCCTGTACCAAACTCATCAGCTTAAATTGCATGGGAAGGAATTTTAAAGATTTACTGCTTAATGAATTTCCATTTCATGCAGATGGAGTCCCCAGGCAAGGATTGCAGTCTAGGAGAGAACATATGGGGTACTTCTTACTTCACAGCATCTTGCCTCCTGTTTTGCTATTTTAGTAATGTAAGAAGTACTAAGAAGTACTTTGTGCAGATCAAGAAATGTACACTTACCTGTGGAAATATTTTGTGCTATAATGGTTACTTTTGGTGTGGAAGTTTTTTTTATAGGTGTAAAGTCTCCTTTTTAAAGAAGGTTAAATGCAAACCTGTAGAAGACTTCAGTGCAGGTCCAGTACGAGATAACTGTAAATATGTTCTATTCCTGTACTGAAGGTCCTACCTCAGCAGAGTCTCAATTCACTATCTAAACATAAGTGTCAGTTACCAGCTGGAATGCCTATAGGGTTCTAAGGTATGTGACTACCACAGACCATGCTTCTTTGAAGCAGTAACTGGGTGGCAAGTGAGATACACTAAGCCCTCTAATATGGTACTAGCCACCTATGTTCAGATAACTGAGTCAATTGCTAAGTTTTTAATGCCTCTTAACAAAGCAGCAGAGATGACTGACACTTCATGTGGAAAAGAAAAGGCTGTTTATTGGTAGCAGTTTGCATTCTTTGCCCTAAAACAGGTTCAAGCTGACAGCAAGATGAGAAATTTACCATTTCAAACCACCAGTGCTCAAACAATCAAGGGATACATACACCAGGATAAACTGTTCATTGATTCCAACAGTAATTTCTTGAGTGCAGAGTTGGTCCATGAATTTTAATACATGAGACACCCACCGGTTTCACAGAGAAAATATACTGAAAAAAGAAAAAAATAAAAAGAAACAAACAAAACCAAAACACACACACACACAAAAAAAAAGTTGCAAGAGTTAGAATTGGTTTCCTTGAGAGAAAGGTTTTGGTGGTACATGGCATGAACCTGAAGTGGTCTCCAGAACAGGTGAGTGAACAGACAATTCTGTCACAAATCATAGTATCTAATAATTTTGGATTGTATGCTACAGGCCTGAGACAACTGTCTCATAACTCGTAACTTCTCTCATAACTTCATAATGCCAATGTGGCAATATTTATTTCACTGTTTTTGCACACTTGGCAGATTTTAATCTCTGCTACAATTATAACAGTTCAATATTAAACTGGCAAAACACCGTGCTGTGCTTAATTGCTTGGTGTTGGTCTAGATTTCCTTAATTTATAAATTCATGTTAGCAATCCAAGATGTACTTTAAACACATCAGCCTAGTAATATTTATTTATTGTTTATTTTTGTTTATTTACTGGTAGATTTTCATACAGTAAATCATGCAATCTCGTACTTTCTGCATAATAAGGGAGAAACGAGTGGCTGTGGAGTATTTGTCTACACAGACACAGTTAAGCAAACTGTCAAAGTGAAAAAAGACTGCCATTTAGATGTATTGAGGAAGTAACTTGATGAACAAAACTAAATAAAGGTTAATTTTTATCTTTTCTGTTTTGAAACAGGAACTCATTCTGAATAATTGCACCATCAAACACAGGATAAACCAAACAAACAGATCCTTTCTTCAGCTGCATTAAATCTAGCTGCATTATACCAGGCATTTTGTACTGAGAGGAACAGGATTTGTTTTTTTCTTCTCAGACAATGCATACTAAGGATTTTTTTTTCAGTCTGTTAGTGCAGACTGATGGTTTACACCTTTATGTACATTTCACCCTCCAGTTTTAGCTTTGACATTCCAGCTCCCAGTCTGCTTGGGAAATTGTCATGCTATTGCATATCTTTCTTCTCTACAGTCTAACTGCTGTTTATAGCCTGCCTGTCACACACCAGTGGCCTGCTCTCCTATCTCCTTGTGAGCCTGAAGATTACTGCCTTTTCCTTTAGCAGAGAATTAGAGCTCCCCTCCACTTCTGTGTTAATCTGGGTGACATGGTTTTACCCTGTGGACTCATTACAAGATATTATGAATGTAAATTACTATAAAATATGAATCTGAAAAGCAGAGAATCGCAGCATCACAGACTGGTTTGGTCTGGAAGGGACCTTAAAGCTCATCCAGTTCCAACCCCTTGCCACGGGCAGGGAAACCTTCCACTAGACCAGGTTGTTCCAAGCCCTGTCCAGCCTGGCCTTGAGCACTGCCAGGGATGGGGCAGCCACAGCTTCTCTGGGCAACCTGTGCCAGCACCTCAGCACCCTCACAGGGAAGAACTTCTGCCTAAGAGCTCATCTCAGTCTCCCCTCTGTCAGGTTAAAGCCATTCCCCTTGTCCTGTCCCTACAGGCCCTTGTCAAAAACCCCTCTCCAGATTTCTAGTCAGCCCCTTTAGGCACGGGGAGCCTTCTCTTCCCCAGGCTGAACCAGCCCAGCTCTCTCAGACCGTCTCCAGAGCAGAGCTGCTCCAGCCCTCACAGCACCTTTGTGGCCTCCTCTTTACTTGTTCAAGCAGTTCCACCTCCCTCTTGGGTTGCTGGTCCAGAGCTGGATGCCGGACAGCAGTGGGAGGTCTCAAGCAAACAAGGTGGAGGTGGAGAATCCCTTCCATTGACCTGCTGCTCATGCTCTGGGAATACAGCCCAGCAAATGGGGGGATGCTGGGCTCAAGCGCACACTGAGCTTCTCAGCAAGCAACTCTTGTCCTCAGACACAACCCAAGTCCCTCTCTTCAGGGCTGCTCTCAATCCATTCTCCACCCAGCCTGTATTTGTGCTTGGCATTGCCACAGCTCAGATGCAGGACCCTGCACTTGGCCTTGTTGAACTTCATGAGGCTGGCATTGGCCACCTTTCAAGCATGTCAAGGTCCCTCTGGATGGCATCCCTTCCCTCCAGTGTGTTGACTCCACCACACAGCTTGGTGTCATAGGCAAACTTGCTGAGGGTGCACTCTCACTGTCCATCCAACCTAAAATCCACATAACACATGTGAGATCATACAAATATTCAACAGCCTATGACAAGCCAGAAGTTCTATATTGAAAAAAAAAACAAACAAAAACAACAAAACAAACAAGCAAAACCACCCACAACAGAAATTCAACTTTATTTCATCACCTCCTTTTTAATAAAAAGTAAACAAACACATTTGGAAGAGCTACAATTAGGCAAACAGTTCATATGGTCATCATTGCCTGAGTCATGCCAGTTACTTATTAGCTTCTCTTTTGTCTTCTCTTATGCACTGAACTCATTCTAAACTTCTAGAAAACTTATTTGATTTCCAAATAAAATGGGCTGCATAAGAAAGCTTAATGGTTGGATAAAGCCAAACTTCTCTTAAAGAGGTGCAGCTCCTGCTTTTCCTATTTTCATTAAGACTTCATGTGGCATTCAAGTTCAATACACAGTAACATCCAATATTGTGATCTTCTATTTGGATATCTTTACAGACTGCCATTTTAGCAGCAGCAAAATTGCAGAACTATATACAGACATTACAAGCAGTTCATTAAGAAGCTTGTGGCATTTATTCCATGCTGACTGGCTGAGATCCAGTATTCTTCATGCATTTTCCCTACTGACATTACTTTTACTTGGTTTATCCTCATGACAGTAAATTCAGAGGATGCTCGGTCAGTAGATCTGGGACTACATTCTGAAAATGAGGACGGAGGGTTTTATACAGAAAACTTTCATTCTGCTTCCTGGGTTTTCAGAGGAGATGATGTCTCTCCAAATAATAGTCCTAGATGTCTCAGCAAAAGGCCTAGACCAGTGGCAAGTAAGTTGGCTAAAGCAGACGGTAATTAATAATTGTCATAAAACTGTGTTTATTTGGGGCACTCTGAGGATTCCAGGGGATCAGCATTTTGGAGAAGACACAGGATGCTTATGCTGAAGAAGAGAAAAAGAGCAACCCAATAATCTAAAAGGTTATTAAAAAACTATTAAAAAGTAGTTCTAATTAAGCACTGTCTTGCAAAATGTCATAATTGCTTGACAAAACTGATACTGGTAAAAGTTCACAATTAAACCTCATTATAAGAGTACAAGCAATGTAATTTTGTAACTTCTTCAAGCATGGCAAATTCTTAGCTATTTATGGACATAAAGTATTATAATAGTCTTATAGTATTATAGTATTATAAATATATATACTTATATATATTTATATACATATAAATATATATATTTATATAGAAAAATATATATACTTATTAGTATTATAATAGTCTTATAGTATTATAGTATTATAAATATATATATTTTTATATATTTATGTACATATAAATATATATATTTATATATATAAATATATATACTTATTAGTATTATAAATAGTATTAGAATTAAAATCTGTTGCCCATCAAGCTTTCAATCATAGTAGATCCAGAAAGAAAAAAGATCAATTTTGTTAGGGTATGAAATGTTCTTCTATTCATAGTTTAAACCCCGTCATACAGATAGGTACAGTGACTAACTTTTGTAGGGTGATGGGAGGTTTTACTTCACTTTTCTAATGTTAAGTTGCTGAAAAGTAACACATTTCAAATAACTAAGACAAACCAAAACACACCTGTAACTTTTCAGAAAACAGTTCTTTAGTGGAGCTCATATATCATTCACTATATGAGAGAAAACAGTTGTTCTCTATAAATCTCCAGATATGAAAAGTCTCCCTTAGAATATATGAGAGTATTCTGGAGAGCCATTTTGATTGCCTTTTCTCCCAGGGGAGAGCTCAGAAGCCCAACAAGATAGTAAAAGTAGGCATTGAAGTATGTATACTCTTTCAGACAGGTAATGTCAATTGGCTTACTATTATCCTTTAAATTTAAAAGTTTTATATCCTTTAAAGCAATTCCTATTTTCCAAACAACACAATTTGAAGCAAAACAGCTGTCATAAATTATTATTAATTTTGTCTCCATTAAACAAACACAGTAAGACAGTGAAATGATCAAAAGCAGACACACTGAGAATTCAAATTTACCTGAAGTCCTTCATAAGTATAAGATTTACTAGCGAGCCAGACCATTTGAGGCATAGTAATAATACTAGACCCTAAGAAAAAGTTGGAAATGGGCAATTAGACCCTGATCTTCCTATTTTACTGAGGGTGATCCCTTTACCTTTATGACTTGAAAATGACATGAAAGACATTTCACATGGGTACAGCCACTGATTGCAGGTGATGCCAGAGGACTGAAAGTCAGTGGGAGCAGGCAGTCAACAGGGGAGGGTAAATGGAAGGAAAAGAAACAATTGGTATCCAAAGGGTAGAGGCCTTCTAAAATATAAAAGATGAAGACCATCCCAGACATTTGCAGAATCTGGAACTGTCAGTGCCTGCAGATAAAAAGTTTAAAAATCACCTGCTGCCTGTTAATTTGAACTTGACCTGTAGAGAAAAAGGGATGTCTTTCCTGTTTTGCAGTCCGTGAAAGAACTGTGAAGATCTCTAAAGGAACTGGCAATTACCCTTGGGGTTTCAGGATCCAGTTCTCAAAGCCTATCCTTGTGACTGAAGTTGACACAAGTAAGTTGTGTTTGTGCTAGTTAACTTCTCTATATAAAAATACTTATGTAACGTTTGGTAATATAATATATGATATAATATTATCTACTTAATATAGATCATCTGTTTTATAATAGTATATAAGATAGATGTACATAAATAATTTCCTAATTAGTGGGTATAAGGTGTTTAAAAAACGTGTCCTTAAACTGCTCATGACAAACTATCTGAAGGAGCCAGTTGCCTGTAGGTTAACCAGACAATGTTCTATGTCCTTCCATGCCAGTTGATAAATTATGCCGGTGTCTGCATCCAGCCTCACTCCACATGTAAAGTCTAGAACTTTGGGGAACTGACACCTGTTAACAACAGACCTTTAAGAATGAAATGGAGGGTGCAGTGATCCTCATAACAACATTTCTAAATGCAGTATTAGCTAGGGATACTTCTGCTTGGATGGATTTCCATCAAACCATCTATAAGCACTAACAAGTGTACTGTTAATTCTGCATGGTAGTCTGATGATTACAAGGAACTCACAAAGGAACTTAAAAACCTGAGTGAGTGAGAAAAAAAGTGGCACATGAGTTTCAACAAAGATTCAAAGTAAGATGCAAAATTGATAAGATGAAAATGCTTCTAGAAATTATCTATACCATGCCTACATGATGGAAAATATGGTATTGGCAATTATGCTCAGGAATGAGATCTTCTGAGTCACCACTGAAAGATCTCTGAAATAATTGTCTGTGTTCAAAGGCAGCTTTGAAATCTGGGTAAAAGATCTGTCAGTAACAGCAGTGAAAATGAGGCACAAGCAGTCAGAGTCATTTTGCTGTTACCTAAAACCCAAATCTAGAGCATTGCTTGCTCTACTTCTCTCTGCATCTCAGGACAGGCACAACAGATTTAGAGGAGAAGGTACAGCAGAGTCTGATAGATTTCTACTACTATATTTTTCATTCTGATATAATAAAAAATGTCATCCTACACCAAGAATGGTAGTGCATGCCCTCTAGCAAGGCATCCAAGAATAGCTCTGTCACTTTACCAGCCTGA